CTCTCTAGCTAGTCTGTCAATTCTCTCATGTAATTCTTAATAGACTAATTATCCCGAAAATAAATAAATTAATAACATTAATTTAAAAAAAAAAGAAAAAAAGAAAAGGCAAGTTGACCAAATCTCGTACTTAGGTGGTGAAGCATCTGCTTCCCTTGCTCTATTCTTGGACAGCTGAATTCCACTGAAGAAAATTTTGACCTTGCTCAAATCTTCCAAAATTAATGGTTTTTGAGACCAGCTGGAATTCAATCCTGAGTGAAAAGAACGTGGAACAAATATGACCTCTAAGAAAAGCTACCTTCTAGAAAATACAAACTTTCAATTCCTGACATTCACATATTGGTGTACTTCAACGCCAGTTCTAGGCCCTCCTTTCTTCTCACTTCATCCTCTTTCCCTAGGGTCATTTCCTTGCCTTTAGCAATAATTACCATGTTTATCCTAGTAACTCTAAAATTTTTACTTTGAGCATTACAAACTTAGAGCTTCATATTCTATCCCATCTATGAGCTCTAGACTCATATATTTATGTGCCTGCTAGATAAATCCACTTGGGTCTCAAAATAATCTCATATTCAAAGAGTATAAATATAAATCCATGATCTTCTATTTTCTCCAAACCAAATCTTCTTCCATCCAACTGTTAGGCCAGAAATTTTGGTGTCTTTTTTTGGCTTCTACCCTTCCTTGCCTCGATTTCTAATCTGTTGCTAGAATTTTGTGGCTGTTAGTTTTTAAATAATTCTCATAGGGTATTTCTTCCTCTTCATATCTACCCCCCAAACTCTGATGGTTTTCTAATTTATCTCACGGTATCCATACTGTTCTTTCCTCTTATCCTTTTATAACAGAGTAGCCAGAGATATATTTTCAAGATACAGATATAATGATTTCATTCCCCTCTTTGAAAAACAATCAAAGCCTGTAATGAGTTTCTTACCTCTTTTAGGATAAAATAAAAAGTTCTTAATGTGGGTTATAAGACCCTTCATGTCCAGACTCATCATGCCCTACTTTTGTTTTGAATTTTTCTTTCTATATGATTAATATATTTGTAAATTATCTTTCCTGTGTATGTTTGCTACTTGTGCTTTGTTGAAAAGAAAAAAGGTAAAGCAACAAATAACTTGGGTAAGTTATTGTTTTATTGGCAATGCATTTTATAGAATAGCAAAATTAGAAATATATGGAGGGTTCCAGATATTGCCTAAATTCAAAGAAATGTGGTTGTCTAGGTTAATAAGTTTGACGATAAAGTATAATTTGCTTTGATTCACTTAAAACAGGTCACAAACAGTATATCAAATTTAGAAGATAACAGTATTGAAATATCATTTTATTTTATCTTGAAGTTGAACATTTTGTTCTGAAGAGAATCTTTATGGGGAAAAAAGTAGGCTTATTATATGTATGTGTAGAAAGAGATAGACATATTATTTCAACAGTTAAATTATTGGTGATTTGTATGAGATTGGAAAGGAAAATGAGTTAAAGGAACCTGTTGCTTCCAGCAATCGATTTTCTGGAGCAACTCTGTGATCTTTTCCCAAAAGTAGTGACAGGTTAATCATATCTAAGGGGAAGAGACTCTGCCAAAGAAGAGGATGCTGTTGGTCTTATTTTGCTTGATGAAGAATAGGAAAGGGTGATCACAATGGAACGGTTCAGAACGTGGAGATATTATTTGAGCAACTTCTACGCCGGTGGCAGCTGTGGCCTCTGTTCCCTCCTCAGTGACGTCCACAAAGGACTTGTGTAGGACTTTAGACACCACGAGATTCGGAACCTCACTCATGCCTGAGAGGTTGGCATTATCTGAACTGAAGGCATCCACCATCCCCATGGCTTCCAAGATGGCTTTGAGGTCATAGCTCTCTCCCACTTTGAACCGAGGCAAGTATAAATACACTTCTCTCCTGCTCATATTCTGTGAGCTCGTCCATTCTGTTAATTTCTTAGCAGTGATTTCATCTTCAAGCTATGAAAATAGAAAAAATGAAACGGACATGATTAACTATAAACCTCTAACACATCTTAACGATGAATTGAATATGTGGGAAATCTATATTTTAGCAATCAATGATATACAGAAGGCTAAGTTTATTAGATATTATTCTAATAAGCAAAAATAATAGCCCTGAATATATATGTACATTTATTTGAGTACATATATGTATGTATATGCAGGAACAGAATCATTACATTAAATTATTTTGTACAAAATAAACTATATATCACTATTTCTTATGCCATCAGCCTACAGCTTATTATATGTATCAAGTTTGAATAGGCTCTTCTTATTTTCCTGTATGCATTATTTATTACATACTGCAATTATGGTGCAATTTTATTATTTTCTTGTTTGATGTATTTGTAAACTTTTCCCACATTGCCATATATTTCTCTCAGTCAAGTTTATTATTAACAATCAATTATTACTGCATACCATTAAACTGCTATCCAATGTATATAGTGCTGCTTAATTAAGAATTAATTAAGCCTTCAGTGTATGTCTGACCCTATACTAAAATATTTGTAATACAAAGATGAATCACTGTTTTTTGCTTTGAAGTTCTTGTTATTTTGAGGGACCTTGGCCTAAAAACTATTGCTTTGTTTAGTCTTGGTATTGTAGGAAAAATGGAGCAATAGAGGAAGAATCGTAGACGCAAGATTTTACCTTTTGTAGACCATCTATTTCATTTGGCAGCAGCACAATCATGCTTAAATCTCTGCCTTTATATGGCATTTCCAGGATCTTGGCCTGCACATCCTCCAGTACGGCAAAATTAGAGGACAGTGTTTGTTTCATCATCTGCACAGGTTTTCTTGTATCCTGCAATAAATTAATGTGTCAAACAAATACCAAGTGAGACATAAGATAAAAAAGGTAATATTATTGAGATATTAAACACATTCTTCTCTTTCTGAAATAACCCAGGAATTTTGTGAATTAAAGACAAGAGTTTCTTCAAGTATTCCTAACTAAATAAAGCTAAAAAAAAAAAAAAACAACAAAATAAGAGCCACGACAAATTCTATTTTGTATTTGCAGTGGTGCATTTCATTGGATGTGTTTATATTTAACATTCAATGGATAGCTGCATTACATTATACAAATAAAATATAGACAATACCTTGTTCAGCCAAAACTCTCCCTCTTTAGTATTTTCCTTATAAAATTTCTGGGCCCACTGCCCTTTGAAATAGACTGCATTTACCAGAACCAGTTTGGTGAGGTAGGTAAGAGATCCATTAGGAAATAGGTCCTTGATTTTGCCTGCAAGGGAAAGAAAACAGGTTCAGTCACACAAGGCACAAGTGGTTTGTCTGGAAGACGCTTTGCAAAAGTTCACCACTGATCATTAATTATTCACCAAAATCACTATTT